GTAAGCCGTCGTCGTCGCGAGGGCGCGTACCTATCTGAAGGAAAGATATTTTGTGGCAACATTCTGCATTGTGAACGTAACGACGACGTGACATTTTTTCTTTATTTAACGTTAGACATTAAAGTAATAGGAGGACATAAAATAGACTCGTCGTTTTCCACATAGGTGACTTTATTTTGTACTTTAATGAACTAGCTTACTTTTTATTCGTTCTGGTCCGAGCTGCGGTGGCTCTAGTTTTTATAGGACAGGAAATCCTAGTTAGGAGTCTGTTAGAAACTTGAACTACATAAAAATGTTGTGGCACATGTAGCGATGTGGGAATGTTTGCTAAAAAATGTATTTCCTGTGTTAGGGAAATTGTTCGAAAGAGCGTGTTACGGGTAATGTATTAATAAATCTGGTTATAATCGCGGTGAAGTAGCGTGGCTCTCTAACGGAGCTTTGATTGCAAAATCAATAGCGTCGGAGCGTGCAACTATCGGCAGGTGTGCTGCCAGTGATATTAAAATTTGTTAGCGAGCGCCGATTAGGGCGCGAACACCCTGCTAATCGGCGATGACCAGCATTTATCTGCTTTGAATCGATGGCCCTTTGATTAAATTGATTTGCAGCTTCGATTAGCGGCTCCCCACTTTGATTGGGGGTGAGGGTCAATTGGCTTTATTAATCATATTTATGAGCCGCTGACGTCATTTAGGTCCTACGTTATATACTATCCAGTGTTATTAAAGCCTGCCACTAATTTTGTTTATAGTAACAATTTAAAGTACGTTGACAATAAATCGTCGGCACCTCTCCATAAGTTGAAAACATTTCGATAAGCATGTGCAACCAACAATGGTGTGAAAGCACCATAAAGTTGATAAAGAGCGGTGTTAATGGTGTTTATTATTGCATGTGCTGGATAAGTTCAGGGATAACGTTTTGTACTCAGGTTGTTTTTTGTTAATGTACCATTTACTATGACATTTAAAGCCTTTGAAGGTATGTGTTTAAAGTAGTAGTCGGTAGTATTATTATCTTTCCTATAATTAGAACCTTAGTGTTTCTCATTCATCTTAATCAATTTTGACGAATAGTTTTGTTTAGTTAGAGCCTTATTTATAAATGTCTTTCACTACACCTGTATTTCTGTCTATCCCAGGTGCTTACAGGTAGTAAGAAGATTGTTAATACGAGTACCCTAGACAGGAGTGCACCAAAGCGTGCTAACTTAGACACTTCCCAGTCAAGGACGTTTGAATTCCGGAGATCAAATTAAAAGTTTCTTTCAACAATCCAACACTTTTACGTGCAATTGCGAGATTTTTATTTAAATAGCCATTAATGAGAATATATTTGGAAACTTTTTTGTTTACTTACAAGTTCATTTAATTAACAGTCATGGCTTTGTTTGCCTCTAAATTATGTTAGGTTTTCTACTTAAGCTTTAAGTTTAAAAGCCATTGGTTAAATACTACAATAGTATTTTTGGATTTTTTTTCTCTGTAATTTAAACTGGCTACACAGTCGTGTGAACAATGTATGTGGGATTGTAGGCGTAGGCATTCATTCTAATAGAACTCATTGTGAGAAGTAAATGTACGCTCGCTGCGCGCCGCTCCGCTTAGATTCGCCCGCTGCGAGTAACTACCACGCTGCATTCTCCTCAGCCGGCCAAGTTTTCTCATTATGGCCGCTAGCACCACCCGCCACTCACACCATTACTTACTACCGTCAAACAAGACACGTACGCACTCGTCCCGAATGAACAAAACATATTTAATTTTTACTAAAAAGAAACTCCCAAAATCTATTCAGTTTCTATTTCAATATGTTCGTCTCCAAAGTTTTCGGCTTAACTCTGAGAGACTATTTTAAAAACGGCAGAGCACGACTTAAGCAACTCATAAATGTGGAGAGGGCTAAGATATTTTCCTGGGGAGGGCGAGAGGAGCGGTTAGCCGACTTTTACACTGGTTTTATTGTCCCAGCCCCTCGTAAAGCGTCCTTTGTGTTAGTAACGTCTCAAGTTGTATTAACACCGTGATAACTTTAGTGGGGACCGTTTGGTTCGACGAGTCCGATTGGCTCGTCTACGCAATTAGGCCTAAAGGACGACAGCCCGAGGTAAACGGATAGTTTTGATAATAATTTAAATGGTGCCGATGACGTTTAGTCCTATTAATGCTCAGGGGAGATTTGAAACCCTTGATATTGAATTTCGTAAGCGAAACTGTATAATATATTACGGGCATCCCTTAGCGTCGCGGCCTAAACGGTGTTTAGATGTTATGGTGTAATTAGGAAGGTCGCCAGTTTTGGCGGGTCGAGCACCCGAAACCGCTTTACAAAAGCGGTTGCCGGGTTAATATTCTCTAAATGTGAAACTAATACTAAACACGCGTTATGGAATTGGGACAGGAAACGACAAAGTACAATGCATATTAACTTAAAATAATGAGTTCATTAAAACGTGGCGACACACGAACAGTAAAGCTAGCGATAATAAGCGCTGATACGTGACGGACATTAACAAACCACGGCTCAGCGCTTCTCAGGAAAATGCCTATTCGAACAACTTCTTCAAAGCAATACAAGTCACTGTTTAAAAAGAAAATGAACTTTACTTAAAATCCGCATTTGCAGCCAGTCGAAACGAAGGAAACTTTCTTACAATTATTAAAATCCGCATCTAAATGTTTATAACACTCAAACTTTTCAATAAGGAAATATTTAATTTCCATTTCAAGAGCTTCGACGGAACGAAAACAAAACAAAAACTTGAAAACATACTCGATTTATAAAAGGAAAACGGGGATCGAGTCGTTGTTCATATTGTTTTTGGAGGGGGGCGCTGATTTCTGCGACGAGAATTTTCCAACGAATTTAGCGGTTTCAATCGATGACGTCTGTAATGGAAAAGTTCAATAGGCAACAACAAAGACCGATATAAGTTAACGAAGCTCACGAAAGTTAAATTCACGATGGTAGCGCACTCTGTCGGACAGGAAATTAAAAGACAAAAGAGTGGCGGCTAGGGCAGTTTAGATTCGGAAATGGAGGGCGTGCCCTTACCCTTTGCATTTTTTCATCGGCGCTAAACCGCAACCACCTTCATATTAATATTAAAAATCGCGTTTGTAACGCGTATACGCAAAATATTTAATTTCACTAGCTACTTATGTTAAAATCTGTCTACAACATTGACTAAAAGTTATGAACTTTACTAAAAATGCAAAATAATATCAATAAATCTTACGTAAAACTCCAAAATATATAAGTCCAGACTCCAGAGCCTCATTGTAGCGAAAAGTAATCATCCTCACGACGCAAGTCTCAAAATGATTAAACATGCAATCTTTCACGTTGACGCGATGCCGAATACATTTGGAATGTAACAGAATTAATCCTTCCTAATACGGGATCCTCAATGTATCAAGGACTACGTATGGTTTCTGTAATTCAGGCGGGCCGGTGTAATCTATTCGCGTCGAGCGATATCGAGTTTCGGGGGGAAGGTAGGTGCCGTTTTCTCGCATCTTTATATGGACTCGCTTGTACTACCTATCGGATGGAACAATGTGGTTCGAGACGCCGGATTCCTCTGAGATGCTGGCTGTTTATCCTCCCCTTTGTGTGGATCTGAATATGTTTGGTTTGCAAAGTGTCGTCCACAATGATAGCATCCAATGCATTCAAACTGCAAATGGATTGCATGTTGTAGCTGGCTACGAGTTTGCTTTGGGAGTTAAAATATTCAGAAGATTACAAAAAGTTGGTGTGATTTTCATGTTAATTACACAAAATGGATGTTAATCGCGATACAGCCGATGATGACAAGCCGAAAGTTCAACACTCACAACTTTGTTTCCTAATTCAATTTGCATTTGGAATCGAAAACTTTCCGTGACACTGTTTTGCATTATTAATACTTCAGCATGGCGTGATCTCCCGAGAGGCGCACTAGAAACCATAAATTGAATTCCAACCTTCGCAATTAGTTATTCCCGCGCGTGAAAACTTTCTAGATCGTTCGCCTTCGTTAACAGATGTTACGGTGCTATTCATTATACATTCCGTCGAATTGTAAAGCCGAACATTTAATTTAAAGTACCTACCGAAAGCTCCTTTGTTAAATCGCCGAGCATTTTGGGCGGTATTGTTGAGGAAGCGCTGGAGCGGCGGAGGATTAGCGGCAGAGTGCTGCCCGCTAGTTTCCCGTTTACTGAGAACATTCGTCTTGCGGGGAAATGCGGGACGATAAATAAAGGTGCGCAATATGGGTTGCGAGCTCGCCGGGTGTGCGCTAGTGGGCGCGCGCCGTGAAACGCATTAACCCTGCGGCACGTGCCGCCGCGCGGCGCTGCTCGCCACCCGCCGACAAATGACAAGTCGTTCTCATAATGCTATATTGAATAACAAATCAACTACGTAAACAGCGTTTGTGCAATATGCTACTAAACAGCATTCTATCTACGACGGACGGATGGCTACGATGCCGTGGTAGGATAATAAAAAAGTTTTTGTGGCGAGCCTACAATTCTGCCGGCGCGGCACGTCTCTTATCGGCCTAATTTGGATCAAACAATTCCACTCCCCCATACAAATTGCGGAGAAGCACATTTGTTATCTGCAGTTTTCGGGAGAAATTATATTAAGATTTTGTGTTATGATAATGTATATTTTTACTCCTCGGTTGAGGGCAATGCATCCTAAGGGAGCTAATTTTATGATAACAATAAATTACACGAAAAATAAACTTGATACCATCTATGGCAACGAGATTTTTCCTTATTTTGTGGACATAATTAATTAGGTATGTTTACTACTGTTATGTGTAACGACAATAACAATGTTACTTAGTATATAATGTAGCAATCATATTACAAATAGTAGTAATATGATAATACACCTATTATTATCAACACTTGACATTTTATTATACCAATGATAGTAGATTTTACAACATTTTATTTTCTTGTTACAGATCTCCTGTGGCGTATACATGAGATGTTATGGGCTCCTGCGTAGCGAAGTGGCGCTGGTGGGTGGTAGTGGTGGCATGGGCGTGGGGCGCCACAGCTCGCACGCTATGCCCTGCGCGCTGCGCCTGCGACGACGCGCTGCGCGCCGCCTCCTGCGCCAACGCCAGCCTAGAGATTGTACCCATACAACTGAACCCAGAAGCCACACACATCAACCTAACACACAATGCTATCGACAACCTTCTCTACACTTTTGGCTTCTACACGCAGCTTACTGTCCTCGACATTTCCTACAACAGAATTGTAGACTTAGGTAGTAGAAACTTCGAAAACAACATGGAAATGACTCATCTTAATTTGAGCCATAATTTTCTAAAACGCTTAGATAAGGACACATTTATTGGACTGAAAAGTCTTGTCGACTTAAACCTAGCAAACAATGAAATAACAAACATTCATGTGCAGACATTTAAAGACTTAACTGCACTAGAGAGGTTAGATTTGTCTAACAATAAACTAGTGAAGTTTGAGCCGGATACTTTCAAGCCTTTGATGTCACTGAAGATTATATCACTCAAAAACAATTCTATATTAGACATTCCGTCTAATAATCTTGCATTCATATTGCATCTAGAAGTTCTAGACTTATCAGAGAACTTGATAGAACAAGTACCAAAGCATGGTATACCATATTTGCAGGAATTGAAACATTTAGACATGAACAACAATTTAATTGAAAGTGTGGATCAGTTAGGATTCCATAACTTACCGTCGCTGCGGCACCTGGATCTGAGTGATAACAACATGACATCAATCCCGACATCGGCCCTGTCTAAACTATCAAACTTGTCCCATTTGTACCTAAGTGGAAACTTTTTTCAAAATGTTACGGCGCTATCGTTCCAAAGTCTCTTCCATTTAAAACATTTACACTTGAGTAGACTTTATGAATTGGAGAGAATTGACTCAAGAGCTTTTGTGGACAATATAAACTTGCAAAAAATATGGATGAACGAGAATGTCAAAGTTGGTGAGGTCCCGCCCAGATTATTTCATGGCAACCCGAAGCTGACTCACATTTATATGAAAAATAACGCATTGGTGGCTCTTGAAGCGTCACATTTCCCAATAGACAGACTGCAAGAACTTGAAATTGCTGGGAATCCCTTCGCATGCAATTGTTCTTTGCTGTGGTTGTGGAAACTTGGACGAGAGAGTGAAATCAGTAGCAGGAAGTCTGGGAACTCAAGTTCCATTCTTAAAATAGACTATGAGGATGTGAAGTGTGCTGCTCCAGCACATTTAAAGGGTGTCCTCTTTGTACAGATTCCGGAGTCGGAATTTGGGTGCTCGAGTGGATGGGTGATAGTAGCGGTAGTAGTGCTTACTGTGAGTATCGTTATAAGCGTGGTTGGTGGTGTTTTGTACTTCATGGGACCCTTGAAGAAGTGTAAAGGGGATAAGTCAAAACAAGTCATGACGAGTGTCATGATGAATGGTGATGTGTCAAAATTAGGCAATGGATTAGGTTACTCAACGAGAAGTAGGGAGCAGGACGCCAAAAGAGACGTTGACCGATATCTAATGATTGGGTCCTCAGTGAGTAATAACTTTCATTCGCTGAATCCTCCGTGGCATAGTGTGGACAAGAATCCTTACTACCAGGAGGACAGTGAGGAGCACATCTACCAGCAGTTTGCCTATGAGACGATTCCTCATCACAGAACGCCCGAGAAACCACACATAGTGTACGTCTAACATAAGTTGTGCGCAAAGGACAATATCGCGGGTATATTTTCTTTGCTAAGTTATACGAACGAAGTTGTGTACTGTCGTCAAAATGACGAGGAACATTGAATTTGCAATAATGTATATAGTGATATGAATAAAATGTAATATGTGATAGCTTTGTATATAGACGTGTAAATATATTACTCAGTGCAGATAAAGACATTACTTTATAGACATTTTCGATTTTGTACTTACTTACTTATTTAGTCATGTTTATACCTAATATTGATTCACCTGTATGTAGTGTGAACGTTTATTTGTTTTATTTACTAGTTCCTCAGATATATGGGTACTCGATTACTTTAAGTGCTTTGTAAAATTCTTTAAGATGTTCAATAAAAAATGAATATTATATTCATGTGTAATATTAAAGTATACATTATATATTTTCAGAATTGAAAACACCAATACTTAATGAAAACTTTGTACAAATATGAGCAATATAGAATAATTTGAAATGTTATGTCGTTAATTTAATTCGATACATTGTTATAGCATACTTATTATTAGTTGTACTTAGAGATGAATCTTTTTAACAGTAAATGCTAAGAACATTAATTACCTATCTACATAAATAAATAGATTATACAATAAACCAGTTGCTCTGATGATGAGGGGTACAAAATACAGTTTAATTGGCTTTACATAATGATTTCAATGAAAAATTATTTTAATAACATTCTGTTGATAGATATTCTCAAATTAATATTTTTGTACTTAGTGAATACGTGAATACGTGTTGGTTCTGAAAGTTTTTGGTTTCATGTTTGATAGGTTTCGATGCAGTTTCTGCATACAAACTAGAAAATATTGAGATGACTTTAAAATCGACAAATCTGTGACTGTTTTGTTATTTTCTCGACATACTTCAACATTGACAAGTAATGATAACCATGAGGATTTTAACGGCCGTTCCCAATATTCTATCTATCCCTTGTTTTGCCCTACTGGAGATAGAAAAATCTATCTATCTTTAAATTTGCCGTCTCAATAAACTTACTGGCGATAGGCAAACTAATCTATGGTTGTCATTACCTGTGGGAGGACGGATAGGTTATCTACAGATTGCTTTTACTATGAAATTGACAGTTCACGCGTCCCAATAATAACAAAGGTGCTATCTGTCAGTAACTTTGGTTATCCCTAGTAGGCTGTAGCTCTATCGCAGGATTTTGATGGATAGGAGTATAGTTATCAGTGAAGATCAGTAACATATCTTTTCTATTTCTTAAAAATACATATAGGAGTATAGTTATATACATCAGATTTAAACAAAAAATCATGTCGGTCTCCAGTTCAAGTAGTAGTTCAAGTGCTATTGATATTTTGGAACAAATAAGGAACTGGGGATCTGACGAGGATGATGTGCTCACCACACCACAACACGATCATATCAAGGGCGTGTTAATTACATGTACAGATATGACGATTACGAGTTTGTGTATAGATTTAGGCTAAGAAGACTAAATTTGAGAAATTTATAATTGTATCAATATAGATAGGTCAGTTATTCTTACCTACATATTTATTTTAATTATTATGTGTTGTTATAAACTGTTTTAATTTATTTAAATACATGAATTATTATTGGGTTGTTTCTTCTTCTCCAGTATATCTAGCTAGAGTTTCCGTTTCTTTAATGCATGTATTTCATCGTCGTGTTTTATTTTTGACTTGGAAGTAATATTCTGCGATTGCCTGATTTCAATCTAATTGACTCATTTCATCTGCATCAGCTCGTCTTTTCTGTTTTCCTAGAAAAATATTATTCAGTGTATTATTCCATTTTGGTCCTCACTACAACCACCATATAAAGGTTTTGTAACCAAACAGTATTGAAAAGTAATTAGTCATAACCAATACCAAACCCCAAAAATGAAATACACAAGAAACTATCTGTGATACCTAATCCTCCAAGTCGCATCTTTGAGCTGATTATTGCTTGCATTTGTGGCTTTGCTGAACATCAATGGATTTGCCTCCACCAATTGTACCAGCTGCATTACTTCTTCTTTCGTCAATAGCATATTCTTTTGCTGCAATGAGTGCATCAAACACGAGTTATTAGTCACATGTATGTTCATGTAATCAAGAACTTTAAAACTTCAATAGCTTCAATCTAAAGCTAGAAAAGCACAAACTGTAATACTTACTGAGGCCATTTTTATAACAAACAATTCTTTGTTATATTATCACAATTTATTGTAAACAAAATCAACAAACAACAATGTCAAATGTCAATGTTTTAACAAATACGTTCCGTTACAAGTCGCGCACTATTCCAGTCGCAAACATGAAGTTTTCGTTATATTAAACTTAAAAAATATTGTTTAATATAAAATTAGTGCAAAATATAAGGTTTCGTTAATTAATTCAAAATGTTTGTGATATAAACATGACAAAATGCTTTAAAAACATTATTGTAACTTAGTGGCACTCTGTGGAGCTCTGCATACAATGAAACACACGGGAGGGCTCAGATAGGCACCCTATCTACTGATATCTAGAGATAGCAAAGACACATTTTAGTTATTGGGACGACATCGAAAGATAGATAGATTTTAACTGACTATCGAGGATAGCTATCTATCTTTACCTATGGATTGAATATTGGGAACGGCCGTAAATGTGATGCGTCGACTGTTTTCTGAATTTCTGTAATATTGAGGCTTTGACTTAAATTTTTTGACAAGTGTTAGCCATTTTTTTTGACAATTACCTTTGTTGTATCAACAGACAGGAAAAAATGTCATTTGATTCACTAATAAAGTTTGTCCGAAGTATGTTGAGCAAAAAATAAAACTAGAGATTATTTCTATTGACTATACGCCTAAGGAAAATACATACAATATTAGTATGGAAAAATAATTTTCATTCTGTTAATTGTGAGTATACTATTTGTTTATAAGTTATTGTAAAATTCCTTGATTGTGTACATTGTTTTTTATAAAAATCCTTGTTTATATTGTTAAGCAGAAAGCGCACTAGGTGGCAGAATTATTGACCATTGGTTGTGTATTAAAAATGTTATCAAAATGTCAAATATAAACGGCTGACTAGTGCGTTGTGCCTTATACCTTAAATATACTACAAATTTCAGATTGTGTTCTGTTGAAAAATCTAAATTATTTAAAATGAAAAAGTTTAAAACACAAGCTGAAATCGCCAGTATTTTAAGGGCTTAAAACCCAGATTACTTCACAAAGGAGAGATGTGACTGTTCGTACCAAAAACTTTTAGATCCAACAATTTAAATTGTTCTAGCTGAAGTAATCACTGCAATTATAATAATTTTTATACAATACATACATACATATAAAAATATATCTAAGACGAATTTCATAAAGATATATCCGCTTCATAACCAAACCTATTCAGTCGGTACCTACAGTAACGATAGTTTAAGGCTATTTATACATACTACTTAAAGAAAAACCTTTTGTTATGAAACTTATTTAAATATATAATGCATTAAAACAAACGACAAATAAACAATTAAAAATAATAATTGCATTTTAATTGAAGTAAGCACTCAGATCGCTCATTCCAATTAATTGTTGTGAGCCAAATCATAATTGGAGTGAGAAATAAAATTTCAACATGTACAGTGGGGGACAGAGCTGCCTGATCATTTTAAAATTGTAATGCCTGATTCCGGCAACAACAAGCCACACCTCAGAATTGTCTCATCTTATAGAAAACCGATAACGTCGCAGCTTAGTGATGCAACTGGTATAATCCCTTAGGCAGTGGTGCGTTTGATGTTATTTGGCTACTTGCACTGATGCCAGTCCCGTCCATTATCCAGCTTCATTCGTCAATTCAAGATCATGTAACGGATTTCATCAGGTGCATGCAAATATTAACTTAGTGGTGGTCAGGTGGATGTGCCCCCGATTGTACATAGTTGTGTGGATAGCTACATGTCTGCTGACCCACTCGTATTACATCCAATTATGAGCAAAGTCCTTATGGTATTATTAATAAGGATCATAATTTTGATTCATTTTGCAAGAGACTTATTATAATGATGAGAAAATTTAAGTTTAATCTGACATAGAAGACAGTTTGTATATTTGAAATGGAATTAAAATCACATCAACTTGTTGATACACAGTCCTTTGTCATTTGGTTTAGTTACCGGATTTACTTATATTTCATCAGTTATGTTATTGGTCCTATTATATTACCTGGAAAATAAATAAAGAAATATTAATAAAATCACAAAGATGGTCTCAAATACAAGTCCTGTAGGCGGCCGAACAAGAGCATTATATATCACCCATCTCAATATTCTTATGAAAATCAGAACATTATGTTCTAAATCAATTAGGTAAATCTCGGTTTATGTATAGAAAAGAGGATTTCCAGGAATAAATCGAGTAAAACTAATAAGTAGGCTTAATGGAATCTACATTGGTATGTGAATAAGATCTAACATTATGAAGGAGCAGACAGAGGTATTATTTTTTATTAAGGGGGAATATCATTGAGGACTTCTCCCGCCTGAGTGAGGCGAAAGGGAGTGTCAGACTCTTACTGACTAAAAACCACCCCGTTCCTTCTCCTGCACTGCGAGCTGGAGCCCCGGTAACCCGTTAGGTTCTCAGCGACAAGACAGAGGTATAGAACTAAAATTATGTAACACCATGTGATTGGGAAGGGACCACGCATCAAGCATAATTCTAGGCCCCATGCTGTAACAAAGAAATATCGATATCCTGATGAAAAATTGTATAGTAGGTACTTTACCCGAATAGGAATTTGAACTTGTATTTAGATGTATTTTGTCATTTTATAAACTATATTAATTAGATACTCTTAGGTTTTCAACTTATAGCACCGACTACGCTCTCACTGGATCACCTAAAGGTTGGCTAGTAAGAATGCCCACGGCATTAAGCCCGCCTATGTACTCTTGTTGCATAAAGTTAAATAAATAAAAAAAAAAACTGAAAGCTTTTACC